AGATAAAACTTGGTGTTCTTCAAGCGGAAGCCATGCACTCCCAGTCCAAGAAGATGTCGTAGCACATCTCCAAACTCTTTGCGCACCAGCGTAGAATTCATCTTCAGATCGTAGTGGCCCTCTTCGAACTGTGACAGCAAGTAGCTGTTCTCTTGCTTTATCCAGGCGCTGGAGTTGCCGCCCACCTTCTTCCAGTTGTTGGGCAGCTCACTGCCAGCATCTACCCACACGAATGCAGAGCGACGATCCGCATTGGCTAGCGCATCGATGAACAGCTGAGAGTTGTTATTAACATAGTTGGGCGTGAGATCGAGCACGACCTTCACGTCGCTGGACTTGTAGAAATCAACGAGTTGCTTGATCTGTGCCTCCACATCTGCTTTCTTCACGTCGTAGGTCTGTGCAGCGGGCAGCTCGTAAATGGCACCCGAAGCGAACAGTTTCTGGGCGGCTTGCAAGTCCTGTGGCTTGGCATCAGCCACGCTGCCAAACTTGGCGTGCAGTCCGCGCTTGTACCAGGGCAAGGGTTCTGGTGCCGCACACTTGGGTGCACCAATTATGATCATAATGGCGCCCACCAACATGCCCACCCAGATGACCCAGAAGCTCACAAAGAATATCCAACGCAAACGCACCCAGAACGGATCATTGGCGTACTTCATTAGCTCCTCCTTGCTCATGCCAGTGAAACCCTGTGCAAAATAAGAGAGACAGATAGAGGGTTAGATTTATTAATCGTCATGCGCTCTCTTTCTCTCTCTCTCTCTCTGACACACTTACCGGCTTGCCGTTCAGATTGCCTATGTCGATCTTTGCGTCGCCATTCTGTTGATCGCCCTTTATGAATTTGACCTCGTCGCGACGCTCCGTAAGTTTCTCATCGGCAGTGCCTGCGCCTAACATCTCCTCGTCGGCGCCATCGGCCGCAAAGTTCTCTTCCTTTACCATCTCGACTGACAAAGCTGCTGATTGAAATAAATAAGGGAGAGCATCTATCAATTAACATCAATTCAGTTTGTTTAGCTGAGTGTGTATACGTGGTCTTTGTGTGTGTGAGCTTCAGTTTATTACCGCGTCGCGTATTTTTTCTCTAAGCAGAGCTGAGATGCCACTTTGGCTTTTTTTTATTAAGCTTACCCAAGCTTGGTTACGGCCTTCATACAATATTAAGTGGAGAAATTTGAACGTTTTTATACTTTAAACTAGCCGCAAAAAGCTACATTTTGTTTTTCTACTGTGCCCTGCACCATATCAAATATGTTGGGCTAGCCACATAGCCGATTTCCTCCCCTAGAACTGCCTTTCGAACGTGCTCATCACTGTTCTATGATCTACGCATGCAATTTCGTCTATTTCGAGGTTAGGGTTATGCTGCACACTCGTTAATGAATTTTATGTACAATTTTCACGCATATTCTAAAAATAGGAATTCAATTTACTTCTGTATATGTTCAAGTTCTGTATCAGTTAATTGATTCTCTTTCATTATACTCAATAAAATTTATGACCACGTTGCTGACGTCACACGGTTTACACTTTAATGAAGCTGCGGTTTTCCCTACTCCGTAACGGAAAATCAATATTAGTACTATTCTAACGCATTTTTGATAAGACATACACGCACACACACACGCACTCACACTTACTTTTCTCTTTAAGTGCTGAAATTTTCAACTTCTGTTACATCAGCCTTTGAGGCGTGTCGGCTAGCTTTAAACAATAGCTTCAAATTTCATACATACCTTGTTGATCGTTCTGGATATGTGCTGGCAACTTTTCTTCTTTAATTACTTTGTAGACTTCCGTAGATTGAAGTGGTGCTTCCTGATTTTGTGCGACGACTGTGCGAGTTTATTGCAAATAAAAGTTTTCAATGAGTATAGTCTCTTAGCACTGTTACTTAACATAACAGAATAAATGTGACATTAACAGTGAGCGTGCTGTCAAATTTTCGAGCATGCTACTGTTTCTGTTCTGTTAAGTTATGTGTGAAAAACCAATAGAAATGCATAAAATTAAATGAATAATTGTTGTTTTTGTGCCCACTTACCAGCAACAGTAACTGGTAGCGACACCGAACTCTGTAATGAAAATATTGTTAGATAATGCTGTTAGTGGGAGGAGCAAATCTGTTAAGGGTACAGACCAGCGAACTCGAAAAGTGGCAACGCCAACTAATTGCGCGCACAATTCAAAAGGATACGGTAGTATAACTTTATTTCGATGTTTTGCCACGTTGCTCACCTTGCTAGCAGTTCCAATATGTTTAAGGCGCGAAAACAAATTCATTTTGTAATAATTTATAGTATATTAAATGAAATATAATTTTAAATTATATTGTATGAATGTGTGCACACAAACTATTTAACGAGAAGAGGAAAAATATAAACGTTTTTAATATAAAAACTTAAAATAATTTCATTAAATTAAATGATATATTCTGAGCAATGCAGCAGAGTAGAAGCTATTGCCATTAATATTTAAAAAATTGTTGTTTTTATTCATTTGTATTCATTTTGTTCTTCACTTTTTCCGACTTTACTAACCATTCGCACGCGAATCTCAATCAAAACTGAAACAGCAATTGCGATGGATGCTCAAACAACTCTCGACTCCAATTAACTGACTTGTCGCAATGTTGTTGCTTTCGCTGTTGCCGTTGCCGTTGCCGTTGCTGTTGCTGTTTTTGCTGCTGCTGCTGCTGCTGTTGGTGGCGGTGCTGCCGTTGCAGCAGCCACATTTGATTTAATAATAATATCCCCACATCCAACGTCGAACGCACGTTTAAATTACAATTTATATAGCTGCGCCAGTTGCCGTCCACAAGCTACCTGGTCCCCCCAAATGGAGCGCAATGAAGTTGCAGCGAATCTCGCCTGAGAATGTATTCGAATGGCCAATGCTACTCGACCGTTCGGCTGCTGACTTGTTATACCCTACAAATGTCTGAGTTATCAGAGACATGCAGACATGAAAATTTACAAAAATAGATTACGTGAATGTAAAGTCTATAAGTCTATAAATAATATACATATATAATATTTTATATCTATACTATATCTATAGATATATATTTCATGTTTTATAATCATATGACATAACATATAATTATGATCTATAATTATTATAACAATTATGAAATACATATATTCTTTTAAAACTCTCAACTTAAATTGTGGTGCAATTTAAAGATTACTTGCCTATATAGGAACCTGTTAAGTCTATGTAGGTCTGTTAGGGTATTCACTGTTCGATATTCGCCTTTTCATCAACCATGCTTGCTTCTTTTGTGCGCATTCTGGGTAGGGCTGTGCGCAAAAAATAAAATGAAAATAAAACATTTACACCCGTTGACGCATTCCATGCCCAAAAAGCGAGCAGACAGAAAATGAATAGAGTTTGAACGATGCTTTCAAGTTCGAACTCGTTGACCTTTTGGCATGCATGGTCAAAGACTTTGGATTAACGTGAAAGCGCACCTCCACAACAGTTGCAGCTCGAATTAGAGCTGCGCTACTACTAATTGATCAATTTGCTGGCATTTTGCGACATGCAAAGCCCATTTAAAAACAAAGCTTCGATTGCAGGCTATATAAATGTGGCTGACAGCTGCCATCGATCGCAAGTTCAATGGCAATCCATGTGGGACGTCAGTTGCTTTTCGCGGCACTTTGTTTGCTGCTGCAGATGTGCATTACCTGCGAGGCGCGGCCAAAGGTAAAAATTTAACAAATATCCCATGTGCAACTCAATGCGAGCCTTTACGAAATACAGGCTATGCCAGGGAATGATGGCGATGGCATCAACAATGGCGAGGACGAAGACGATGATTCCTCCTCGGAGGAGACCGTTGAGGATTCGAACGAGGGTCGCAGGCGTCGTCGTCGCGAGGCCAACGAACGTGCTGTCATCCCGGGCCTGCCCGATCCGGCAACGATCATTAAGTTCGCTCAGCTCTTCCAATCGGTGGGCGAACAGATTGTGCCCATTATCCTAGAGGCTCTGCTGCCCGTTAACGATGCAACCGCAGAGCGAACGGTTCGGGACTTGCAGTTCATGTCGAAACCCCAGCGCACGCTCGAACTCAATTCAGAGGAGCTGCTGCCGCCAGCTGTCTAAATTGTTCCACTTAGAACCTGTTTGGCTCGACAGCATTAAAGATGATGAAATGAAAGAAATGTGCGTGTTTCAAACTCGATTTTGCTAAATCGATTTTATAATTTTAGTATTGGTTTGACTTGCATCGAATATCGACTCGGATTTGGGTCTGTTTCAATGAGAAGACTGGGCACTTCTTACTGAGATCTTTATTTTATTTATTGTACATATTCGATAGCCCTTTTGAATGCTTCTTTCGTCTTTGGTTTATTTCTGCGGGCTCCCATTTAACCCACTTTTGTTGGTTGTAGCCTGATTCCGAGTGGCAACCTCACAACCTTATTCAAGTCCAGTTAGTTCTGAGCTGGGAATTAATGGAATTTGATCAGATAACTCATTATATTATATTATTTTGTTACTATTGATTTAAAGATTTTAGCTTAAATATTTAAAAATTAAATATTTATAAAATTAGATATATCTTTCTAAATTTAATTTTAAGAACATGTCTAAAAATATGCAGCATGATGATCTCTTATATGCCTTATCCGCAGTAAATTCTGCCAATATGATACAGCGCTGTCCGCATTTTGAGCTTGTTTATTTTGACGATAGATGGCGGAGGCAAAAACAAGTTCTTACAGTCAACACAACACATACATGCTTAATAATAAATTCTATTTGACAAAATTATTGCATATTCTTGAATCTTCATTAGAAGTTTAAAACTCACTTTCTATGGAATGATGGAATACATAACTACTCCAATATGTGGCCAACTATCCCACTGAATCCATATATATATTGAGGAAGAAAAAGTCTTCCCTTTTACTTAAAATAAATACAAAATAAGGTTTTTCATACCTATGTCGATGTGAAAAAAACTTAATTTATTATTTTTTATGAAAAATTACTGACATAGAAGGTGAATCGCATTCCGTTTTTTTCCGATATAGTCTAGACGGTAACGGACACAAAACCTTTTATATGTTTGCATTTCTTATTCTTGACCCCAAGAAGCTTTTGGATGTTCTCTAGGGCTTCCGACAAGCCCTTTTCGCAAACCAAATAGGAAGATATCATGACGTAAATGTCGGGCAGCTTTTTGAGGGCAAAAGGGTACTGGGATAAATCCTTCTCAATTTGTTTCGCTATCCCTTTGATAACGTCTAGATACAAAAAGTTCCACTTAAAAATCAGTTCGCAGTTCGAGAAGGCCAGAAGGTCATCACACTTAATAATTTGACTGTTTGATGGTTTGTTAACCGCAGTCTTGGCCTGAGCATGGAACAGCAGGCACAGCACCACAACTATTATTATTCGCTGTCAATTATACGGAATTAATGATTTCTAGTAATTGTCTTCAAGTACAGCGAGAAATCACAGATCTTACCATCTTTCTTGAATGTCTCGAGTGTTATGTAGCCATTTTGAAGATCACCATTATAGAAGTCGAACTTTACTTTACCATAACCAAATGCATTTTATGGTCTTTCGTTCTGCTGATTAGTTCATGTTCTCAGAGGAATATTTGTTCTCTTTAGCTGCAAGAAATGTTACTTTCATTTTAAAAAGAATATTTATAGATAATACGGTTTTGTTAAATTTGCCTTGCTTGCCATATATTATTCATATTTAAAGATGACGTCCAAAAGTATGCAGCATTATTAATACATCGGCAGTATGCTGCTGAAAGATTGCAGAGTTCCTCTTTCTTAACAATAGAGGGCGCTGGTAAATGGGAGCTATTTGTTGTCTCAGTTGGCATTTAAGAGTAAATTGTATACAAGAATATTTATATATATATATACAATACATACATACATATATGCAAAAATATTGAACCGAATTTCTCGTACACCCACAAATATCTACAGCTATGATAAAGGCATATGATGATAATATGAGTCTAAAAATGCATTATGGACATAGAAACATATATATGTGTGTATGCATATACAACGTTAAAAAATGTTACCTAAGAATCTTAATTGATAGACATCCGTGCTCTCCAATGGGTCAGCTAAGGCCCTCCCACGCTATTTCAATTTCGTTCTCTGGCGCCTTTTATGTGGGCTTGCTCGTGTGCAATAAGATCTTTGAAGCCAACCAGCTGACAGCTTGCAACAGACAACTTGCAACTGGCAACTGCAACTGGCAGCAGCAGCCGCAGCAGCAGCAGCAACAACAGCGACAACGACAACAACGACAACAACAATAACGATTCTGTCTTAAGTGAATTGTTGTGTTGACAAAGCAGAGCAAAGTAAAGAGAGCTAAAGTAAAAGTTAATATGCTCGGCATGATGGCCGGGCCCGGGCTGTGGGGCACTCAAGTATTTAAACATTTGCCTGGTTGTAATTTGAGCTGCATGCTTGAGCATTGCGAGCGTTCATATGTTCATATGGCTGGCTGTCTGACTGTGGCTGTCTGGCTGTCTAGGACGCAGTCACATCCTGTGCGTGCGCCATGCCAGACTCTAGTTATTTGTATCTTTAAGATACTTTTGCTGTCTCCCGTTTATTTATTGTACAAAGCAATTTCGTGACTTCGTTGTTTATTTTCAGTCTTTCACATTTCGTTTGACTTGCCCGTTCGACACAAATAATGGATGTGCACATATGCAACACCTGCCCATTCCCCTAGCTCACCTGATCTAACCCGAGGTCTCGGGTCAAACTTACCTGCGCACAAATGAACTAAGTAACTTGTGAATGCAGTGCGCTCAAAATGGCTAAGCAAATTCGCCAAGACATACTCCTCTTCGCCACGTTCAGTATTTTTGGCTGAGTTCTCTACTAATTTGTGTTCAGTGCTTGGCTCTTTCGAGTGCCAACTGGCAGGAGTTTTCCTTCCTCCATCCTTGTCGCTCACGTGCAGCGAAACCCGCCTAAGATAATACAGATCGCATCATTGGCAACGCCAACGGCAACGGCAAATACATAAACATAAGCTGAGCAAGTGAACATGAAAGAAGAAATAATAAAATAACAATAAAAAACAAGAGGGATTTACTGCAAAGGGCGCAACATCTAGATACCCTGTAAATTGCATGAAACATTTCATAAATATATTTAACTTATTTCGAGACTTTTCCTGCGCCCTCGATTAATTTAGAGAGACGCAAAGAGAGGAATTTTGTTAAAGGCATAAAGTCCAACTATTTCAGTTTTCTGTATGCACAAATATGCCTCACTCAGTCAATATTTACAGGGCAACGAAAAAGAAACGAGTAAGAAGACTTCGCACCAATGCTCTCGAGTGTTTTCTTTATAAACAGAAAACTTAATGATGTTGATTTAGTAGAACAGCCAACTGCTCGCCTTGCCCCCTTCACACCTTGCGTTGCCTATTCGCGCTTTATGGAACCTCAGACACATTTTCATAATATGTATGGCACAATATGTTTCACTCGCCGTGCTCAACACTTTGAAAGTTTTTGGCTCAGTCGGCCCCCTTGGTGCCAGGTTCGCGTCCCAGTCCCAATCCCAGTCCCAGACCCAGGCCCAGGCCCAGGCCCTGGCGCGGTGCCTGTGCCAGTGTCAGACAGTCGCCGCGTTTTTCTCGCGTTGGCTCGTCAGTCAACATGATTTGCAAGTTATACAAATTCATTCAGCCGTCGAGGAAGGCCAACACTAAGACCAAGACCAAGACCAAGACCAAGACCGAGAGACTAAGACCCAGGGACCACGACTTGGGCCGAGTTCTGGCCCGCATGTCTGCTTCATTAACACGTCTTTAGAGCTCTGGCTACGCTTCTTATGCCTCAGCGCTCTACAAACCAGGGGCTGTATGGGTTTTGATACTGCATTGGAGACATCTGACAAATCAGGCTAATATTTTATAAAGATTTCAATCAATTTGTAAATGATGTAAGCCTGCGTTGTATATCTCTCAAGGAATTACAGCAATAAGTTTGATTATTAATTTGGAAATCAATCAGACGATCAGCCAATCGCTGATAATATTATTTTGTAGGACTTTAGCATTCTAAGTGAATCAATCAATCAATCGCTTATTATTCTTATTTATATATTTAGGCATATTTAATAGATGTAAACAGACTTTTAGTTCGTCAATCTCAGTCAGTTCATCCGAACTCTAGTTGAGTTGATAATTGTTATTTTTGTTTGTTTATAATTTGGTTGTATTCTGCTTATCGGGCAGTTAGTCAATTTATTTACTTAAATAAATCAAGCAGTCCGCCAATCAGCCAGCAAGTCGCTATTGATATTCTAGAGCTCTTAGTTTTAGTTATTCAAAATTGATTCCATTTTGTTCAAGTGTATTAAAGTGCATGCGTTGGTCGTTATCACATTAGCTTCGTTAGCTTTACAATGTCTTGTGAATTTTGAAGAGTTGAGGTGTAAATTGCTTTGTCGTTTTCTGTATTTGGAAATGTTCGTCCGTCTGTCAACGACAGCCAGACACACACGCACACATACATCTATAGTAACACACACACATACACACTCATCGACACTCACAATTAGTTAGGCTGCACTAAAATAATGATTAGAAGTCGTTTCAGAAGTTTGTGTAGCATGAGCAGAAAAGAGCCAAGAAAAGCAATTTATGTGAGGCGGGCTGAATCGGAATTCCTCTGGGGCCACTGGGCGAGGAGACAAACTGTGCTAATTAGATTGCCGATAGATAGTATTGACAGGATATGAAGCCAGAAGGCGTGGGCTATGAGAAATTGATGCAATGCGTGAGATTATGCGAGTTGGGCTGGCTGCGAAAACTCGATTCAATTCACAGCTGTCGAGGCAAAATGCCTAGAGGTATTAGAAGGAAAACAAAGAGAATTTTCTATGTGTGGTAAAGAAAACCTGCCAAAAGAATCAAATAAAGAGAGAGAGAGAGAAAGAGAGGGAGAGAAGCTGTTTAAGAGTAGGCAAGTTGAGCAACTACTTTGGCTGCGAGTTGCCTTCGGGCCGACAGGCACGTCCTTCTTCGCCCAGCGATGTCGGCGGCTTGGAAATAATTTGTTCTCGAATGGCAAACCACAGCCCAGTTTTGCACATGGCACCACCCGCATTCTCCAGCCACTCGTGTGCAGCCCCTAAAGAAATTCCATCAGCTGCATTTTGCAGCTTAAAAAGCTTTTTGTGTGCCAGGAAGTTTCGCAACCTTTTGTTGACTGCTGGCCATGGGCGGGTGTGGGGCGTGGCAAGCCGTGCAACTGACATTAGTCGTGCAATAAGTAGACAGCCCTCAGTGACACATGTTTCCATGTGGCACCAGCCACAGTCACAGTCACAGTTACAGCAAGGCAGCCAAAAGCCCCGGCCCAAGCCCTGCACCAAGATCCTACTGCTAGAAGGCCGTGCCTGTCTGCATTTGGCTGCTAAACTTTTTGCTTGCCATGCAAGACACGTTGACAAAAGACGACAACAGCAGCAGCAGCAACAACAACAACAACAACAACAGAAGTCGACAATGTTCGCCAGCCAACATAGACATAGACGAATTTATGCTAATCAGTTGAGATGCCTGCCTGCCTGCCTGCCTGACTGGCTGCCTGCCTCGCTGCACGAGGGTCGCACCGTAACACTTCAAACTTGAATATTTAATTTGAGCATTTCTTGTGAAATTTGAAATCCTTGTAAACGCAGCATTTTTTTTTCTCATTTAAATAACTCTGTGATCTCCCAGATAACTAGCTGAAGCATGTTTTGAAAGGGAAACATGTCTCGGCGAGCAATAGTAATTACTGTAGAAGATGAAATACCCTAGAAATGGGAGTAGATTGTAGTTCCACGAGACAAATAAGACTAAAAGTCTTAGATAAGGTTTTGTAACACGGACGGCTAATCACATAAACAAGTCTTTATAAAAGGAGATCAGTGCGGAACTGTTAGATCTGTCATTCCTATTAGATAGTAAAGTAGTAAGCTGGAGGAGGCGATGCTGAAAGAGGAGGGACTGCAACCAGAGGTGAGGCAGGAGGAGCAGACAGAGCATTTAAAATACTTTCAATTTTGATAAAATCTTGTCTTTGCAGAGTAAAATATAAGTTATAGATTGATAATGACTTCTATTACCAATGCTGCTAAGCTGAGACTAATTTTAATGAATGCACCACATATATGTACATATATATACATACATATCTACATCTATCTGTATTCCATATGCATTAGTAAAATAAAAGAAAAGAGAATTTCACAAATGTCTCCCGCAGCGAACATAAAAAATATATATTTAATTACCAGCCATCAGGCATTAGGCATCAGGCATCGGGTATCACATGCAGCAAAAGTCTTATGGCTTTAGATGATTGTTTATTTCGTGGCCCTTTTTTTTCCTATGTGGGTCGATGGCAAATTTTAATGAGGCAAGGATTTGGGCTGGCCGTGTGTGCGTGTTCCGGCAACTTGGGTTGGGTGAAGGAATAGTTGCCTGGCAGCAATAGATGAAATCCTCACTTCACGCACCAATTAAGTTCAATTTTCGTTGGAGTAGAAGAAGAACGCGGCGAGCATATATTTGTGCAGAAGAATGGGACTTTGACTGGGTCTGGGATCGAAATTGACATCATTTGCCGTTAAAGAGGCAGCATTTGGCGACGAGGGTTGAGCTCACAATTACGCCAACGTGTGTGCGCCGAGTCGGATGCGAATTCGTATCGGATTCAAAAGATTGGGAACTTCGTTCGCCTCTGCCGTCGGCCATGGGAAATGGGCTCAAGTGCCAGCAGGCGGCATTATAAGCACATTAAATTCTAAAGGCACCGTCGAAGCATGCCTGAAATGCTGACGATTTTGTTCTGGCACAGCGCAAGTGCTTTTTATTATGCGATATTTGAAATTTGCGCATGTACTCTCGTATTATTATTGAATATCATTACCGAAATCCCAACAACATGAAGAACTGAAGCAGCAGCAGCAGCAGCAGCAGCAGCAGCAGCAGCAGCAGTTGCGCCTCGCACGTGAGGGTGACTCCAAACAGCTGAAAACAACTAGCTGGGGGTCGCTTTATGAACTGCTTGCTGCACTCTTTCCGAAGAAACTCCAAAGTCAAAGTCGACCAAAAACACGAGAAAAATAATAATAAAGAAAAGACAGCTATTTAAGATATGCAAGTCGAAGACTCAACACTCTATATCTTATCTTAGAAAAGCTCAATGTCTAAGGACGCCCAAGATATGAACTTACTATGAATTGTATTCTCATATATATGAAATTTTATATTTATAATAACCAAAGCCTCAATTTAAAATATCGCATATAATATGTAAGTGACATTAGAATATTTGAATCAACAGGAAATGAGATATCTAAAAAAATATATATAAAGACATATCCAATATACTTGCTTTTCAGTTCTATATAAGACCTCTATATTATTAAAAATATCTATTCATGCATTATTTTGTATGTTTATGACCGTATCGCGTAGTGAACATTGCTCTTCGGCATTCGCAAGTAACTCAAGTTAGGGTATGCGCTCACTAAACTTAACTCAACTGGGCGCATTATCAGCGCCCCAAAGCCCGCAATTTTGCTGCGTTTAGTGGTTTAATTTTTATGTTGCAATTTTTATGGCATTTGGTGGGGAGACTCACTCTGAAGACTTCTGTCCCCGCATGCTGTTTGGACGCTTGATGGTGGTGCTTGGTGCCTGGTGGCTGATGGCTGATGCCTGATGGCTGATGCCTGATGGTTTGGTTGCTTTTTAAGTGCGCCTTGGCACAATGTGGTTTGTTATATTTTTATGGGCTTCTGGGGCTACGTTTTATGTTTCATCTTTTGAGTGCGCGTCGTTTGTTGTTTGCTTTTCCAACTGTTGAGTTCATGAGTCTAAAGAAGCTTCTCTTTATTATATTCACAGAATGCCCTTTGTCATTTCTCTGTGCATTTAACTCAATTTCTGCGTTTTCCTCATTTACTAGAAAACAGTTTGCGTTGGCTCATTAGATGCCATGTATATTGCACCGCATCCGGTTCAGGACTTGAAGAGAAAAATTAAAAAAAAAAAAAAACTCTCATGGGGGAAGCCCGACTAGAGACTCCCCTTAACCCCGTTCGATTTTCGCGTTTACTAACAGTCCACTCAATTTCTTGAATATATGGTAAAAAGAAAACTATAATGACTTCCCTACTAGATTTGATATTGAGTGACAGAAACTCTGCATGGGATCGAGGTTTAATAAGCCTTCCAAGTATATTCAATCTGTATATTTTCTTTTTCAATTCAGCACACAGACACACAAATTAAATTAAATTCATCACATTATGTTTCAAATCATATTTCGATTCAAAATATGAAATGGCCATTCAGTAATCATTTCTGCTTCGCCTTTTTCGGTAATATATAGGTGTGTATGTAGAAATTGGTAAACATGACTACCATAAGTAAGCCCATGGCTAGAACGGCAATAATGGCCAAAAGCGCAACCTCACAATCGGGCTGCATCAAGGTGTAAACGCTGTGCAGCATTACCGAGAAAAATTGAAACATTTGAAGAATAGTGATGTATTGCTTCCAGGTGGGATTCTGGCTGACCGCCTGCTTCTGGGACGAGATGTAATAGTAGCTGTACATCACGGTATGCACGAAGACATTGAAGATGCCCATGATCGTGAAATGTCCACCATATCCATTGAATCGTATTCCAGTATAGACTGCCAACACCATGATTGAGTGGTGCGACATATGCAGCACAGTGATCTGTCTGTAGTTCTTGCGCAGCACCATGAAGACGGTGTCCATCAGATCGAGTATCTTGTTCAGATAGTACGCATAACTCAGAGAGCGTTCAAAAAACTTGACCGGATGATCCAGTGGCAGTACCATTATGCAACTCAGCTTATACGGTTTCAGTATAAAAAGCACGTAGGAGATCTTCGAGAATATGAAACCTTATGCATTTTCATCAACGAGACTCGAGTTAACTGGACTTACAAGTATGAATAGAACGCCATTGTACACGATCTGTATCAGATTGTAAACCCTAAGGACTTTGTTCAGATCGTACGGCTGACGATGCTCCATGAACTGGCGCCCCACTTTGAGCACAAAGAGCAGATAAGTCGACACTATGAGTATTGCAGGCCAAGGTCCAACGGCCAGGGGCAGCTCTATGGGATCCGCTGGTGGTTTATTGAATATCTCAAACATCTTGATACTTAATCGTGGCTTCGACTAGTTTACACTTTGCGTATGTTCGACGAACGAATTGTTTTGCGACTGCTTCAAAATGAAAGTGGTTTTCATTTATATTTCCTTCATGATATATATATGCACATCAGCTTTGTTTGCATGTGTCAAATGTTGCCAATAGGCACTTAATGCGGATTCGTATACCCTGCGAATTCAATATTTAAAACAAAAAAACATAATTTAAAACATAAAATTTGTAATAGAACATTATTTAATGTACATCCTCAAGCAACTCCAATACCTTAGCCGTTCCAGTAATGTCCCTTCCCATCCCTTCCAGATTTCGAAATCATGCTCTCTATATTCCCATCCTGCATTCCTGCCTTAGTAAGCAGGTGTATCCTTATGTGTGCGAGTTCAGGGTGTCACATAGTCGGACACTCGCACTCATTTACTTGTTCCATTAGACTATTCGCCACTTGTTGTATTTTCTCTGACAAAAATGCATATTCTATGCCTAGGGGGTTCAATACTAAGACTACAATTATCATATACGATTTAAATTAATGCCAAGCCCAATTGGAAACTAAAACTATCGAACACTAAATACTCTTTTCAAACTGTTAATGTATGCAAATATATTAGAATCAATTTATAAGACTGTTCAGGCATTAGAGTGAAATAAAGTCATTTAATTTGACATACCCGAAATTTGTGTATTGCTTATTTCTGATGTGTCTCCTCACTGAGATACGAACAGCAAGTGTTGCCAATGTAATCCGAGAGCATAGTAAATATATGCGAATATACCTTAATTATATTCAATTGTTTGCAAGTGCGTTTGATCAAATCATTAATGCATTATGTAACCGCATTGCATCACAAGGAAATGTTATTTCTTACGTAACCTAGGCGGAAAGGCAAATAAGCATATCATTTCTGAAACTATAATCTGAAATTTTATTCCTTCTTAGTCTGACTTCACTGCTTTCGTTTTCTCGGGCAATGTGTAAGCGTGTATGTAGAAATTGGTAAACATTGAGAACATTACTATTGACATGAAGAACGCCGCATAGATCATAGGACGCGATGTGTCACACTTTGGCTGCATCAGGGTCCATACGCTGTGCCCACATATAAGTACGAACTGTACCATCTGCAGTATAGTGATGTACGGCTTCCACCAGATTACCTTGTTTTTAGTCGAGCTCTGTGCCGCGGCGTAGTAGTAGCTGTACATGATAACGTGCACGAAGACATTCAGGACACCCGTTACTAGAAGATGACCCCCGAAGCCAACGAGCCTGATTATGAAGTATCCCGTGATGGGCATATACAGATGATGAACTAGATGCAGAAGCGTGATCTGCTTGTTATTCTTGCGCAACACTATGAAGACGGTGTCCAGCATGTCGATATACTTGTTGACATAGTACGCATAGCATATCATACGATCCATGTTCTTGTGTGGATGATCCAAAGGCACAACTCTCATGCAACGTAAGTTATAGTTCCTGAATACAATTAAGTAGCTAACTACCTGTAAGGACCTCCGTTGTTGTAGACTGATTTTCTTTCAAGTTTTCCATATATCACACTTACCGTTACGAATAGCGAGGCATTGTACAAAATCTGTATGAGATTGTAGACCTTAAGTACAGAGCGCAGATCAAAGGCTTTTCGCTTTTCCATAAACTTACGTCCCTTTAGCACAAAGATCAGATAGGACGACACTATGGCCACCATAGGCCATGGACTAGTCGCGAGGAAGAGTCCCGAGGGATCGACATGGGGTCTATTAAATATATCCAACATATTAATTTATACTACTGACTGGGGAACTCTAATAAATATTTGAACTATCAAATTCAACTGTATTAAATCTAATATATCATTAAAAAAAAAAAAAAAAAACAACAATAAGTTAACAAGAAAAAAACGTTTTGTTTACACCCCTAAATAAATTTCCATTAAAATATTTATAAATACAAACAGTCAGTCGTTTAGTCTTTCGATTGCTCTGTTTTCATAGTTAATCTATACCCAAGTATGGGCGACTAGCAGCACGTTGATTGTCAGGCGATTTGCCTGACTGTGGGAGCACATTAGTAAGAACTGAACCATCTGCATAATTATAATGTGCTGCTTCCACTAGAGATTTAGAGTGTACAAGAACCAGAGCACACAATCAATATTTGAATGATGCTTGAATCTAATAGCATTCTAGACTTTCAAAAGCACGTGGCCCAGCTTCAGCATAAAGAGCAAGGAGGCTGACATTTTGGTCAGAAGGTGCTGAGGCCCTGTGCTCAAAGGCAGCAGATTGGATTTCCCATAAGGTCTATCGAATATACTCAGCATATCATCTCCAACTAGACAGTCTGTTAACCGCATTTCATTAGCGAGAACGAATACTTGGATGTTTATATTTTCATTATACTGAACCTCTACTAAAGCCTTAACAGGCCTCTCAAAGACTTTGCACTCATCTGAAAAAAAAAGGCGTATCAACTTGACTTAGAGTTGACATCTAACCAGGTTAACGACGCTAACGTTTCACCTAGCAATTTAATTAAAAATAAAAGAAAACAGAAATATTGTTAAGTTACAAGTTAATCAATTAATTAGGCCAGGTTTTTATTTACGCTCAAGCCGATTCTATGGGAATTTTTATGAAATATATCCAAAGACAGAAAATGTTTAATCAGAACATATTATGTTTCGTATTTGATAACAGAAAAATTCATTGCGGGCGGTAAAATCCCATTAATAACATGAAGCCGCCTAAGATGCTGCTAATGGAAAGGTTTTGCAGGCAAACAGAGAATGATGTCTGCAATTCTCTCAGCATTTTCCCATTGCTCTGCGTACTTGAATGAATAGCTAATTAGTTGGGCGCATAATGAAAAAGTGCCCAATCATGATTTTTGCATAATTTTCAAAAAGCTTCTTTCAGGGCTTTACTCCGGCTGCTGGTCGCCCGGCCACAATGCAAAGCCTTTCAACCCCAAAAATATGAAAAACAAAACGAGTAAGTAGGAATGATGGCTCTGGCCGTACTGGTATAAAAACTTGAATGAAAGTGTCTCGCTTTTGATAAGCGAAGCGGGCTGCTTTTATCCTGGTAAAGTCCTTTGTGCGGCTCATCTTCTGGCTGTCTATCAGAGCGACGTGGCATTATTATTAATGGGCATCTGGATTGGAATATGTAGTTGAATTTGGATTCGGTTTCGGTATTGGACGAGCTATAGAATTTTCCAAAAATTAATTTATGACACGCCGCACATTTACCATTTGCCCACACTGAATACGTGCTATGATTATTATCAGTCTTTTCCCTCTCTGCTCCCCTCTTCAACACACCCGCCCGCTGTCCCTTTTCGAATTGTATGTACGTATTATTTTTAATCCATTAAACAAATGCCATGTTACGGGCCCGCCTGTTGTGTCTGTGCCTGTGTCTGTGTGTGAGAGCCTGTGTGTGTGTGTGCGCGTTATCAGTAAATGGGCAGAAGGGTCTTTGATTTGGCTGCCAGCACACAATGTGCCCGGCTCTAAGAACTAGAGCCGTGTGCTCTGCATTCAGGGTAGAAAGCAACGCCTCCAATGTGAATTAGTTATGTACACTGAGAGAAATATATGCACATTCTACTGAAATGTGTTTAGAATAAAAAAAATTGTTAAATTTGATTGGTAATGTAAAAAAAAAAATTTGTTGCTTATAGCTAGACCTAATCGATTTTATTAGTAAAGATCTGCTATTTAATAATACTAAAGATTAGTAATACAATCTTACATTATTCTTCCAATAAAAGCAAAAATGTAATTTATTTTATAATTTTATAGATTTCTACATATCTTTTAGGTTTATAATATACATATCTATTAGGAACATAATTTACTGCTAAATAAAAACGAATTTCCATCATCTCAGCTCATATTTTTCCAAGTGTATCTGCCTGTCATGCAATCAGTCCATTTTGCTCTGTTCGATATGCTTAAGGCGAGACATTGTGTGTTCACGCTGAGTTATCAAGCATAAAGAAATTTATCTGAGGCCGAAAGCAAGAGAAACCAATTTAATGGCATTGAATGTAATCATTAATATCTCAGCAGATATATAATGGGCAACTGGGTAGGGACTGAGTCGTGTCGATCAATTCTTAGATTTTCTATTCGATTTGTTTCAATTTTCTGTGTGGGATGCATTCCAATTGTCGCCATGGTATTGGCTTTCATAACTCGATGATGATGGCGATGATGATGTTGTTGTTGCTGCTATTCACTGGACAGTGATTTAGCCATCAAAGCCAGTTGGACATCGGTCCTTAAAGCTCACTCGCTGCCATTCACACGGCTCACTCGGCTCACTCAGCTCAATGAGCAAATAGCTCTTAAAATAAGTACGAACACAGGGTGCCAACCTCCCC